TTCTCTATTTCTATTCTTGTAATTGTTTATAATTTATTTTTTATTATTTCTATATAAATATTCCGCCATGTACAATTATTCATCATAGTGAAAATCGACCCATTCTTTTAATCTTGTCTTTCAAGCTTTAACTTGGTATTAGAGCCATGGCCTACAACACCCCCCATTGTTTCTGAGATAATGAGCTCGAGCTCAACCTCTTCCCAGAATTCTTCCTACCAATGAACATTAGTTCTATTCCTATTATTTCACATTATCTAACAATCAAATTCAATGGCGAAAATTTTCTTCTCTGGAAAGCTCAATTGCTTCCATTACTTCAAGCCCACAAGTTGATGGGGGTCATTGATGGATCAGCCAAACCTCCCTCAGAAGTGATTCCAGATCCTGTTGATAGCAGTAAGAGAATTCTGAACCTAGAATTTTTCACCTAGGTGCAGTTAGATCAGCTGGTCCTAAGCTAGCTTGTAGCTTCTTTAACTGAAGGAGTCCTAGTACAAGTCGTTGGACTCTCTACAACCGCTGAAGTCTAGAATGCTCTAGAGAAATCTTTCTCTTCTCATTCTCGATCCAAGGTACTTCAACTCAGACGTCAACTTCAAAACCTCAAGAAAGGGAACTTGTCCATCAATGGTTATGTTCAAAAAGCCAAAACAATTGCAAATAATATTTTTGCAGTTTCAAAACCAGTAGAAAAAGCATATATGGTTTTATACATCCTATTTGGCTTGGGCAGTGAGTATGAATCCCTTATTACAGCTATTACAAATCGAGTTGATGCAGATCAACTCAATATTAGTGATGTTCTTGGGTTACTTCTGAGTCATGAAGTCTGGCTTTTGCAACACAATTTTTCTAGTGAAAATCCTAATGCAAATCTTGCAATGAATAATAATAAAAATTCGACTAATAGTTTTTCGCCCAAATAGAGTTCTTACAATCAAGGCAGAGGTGGCAACAATCGTGGCAGAGGCAAGGGGCGTGGTGGTCAGCCCTCAGGCCGTGGAAAATGAAATAGTATTATTTGTCAGTTTTGTAACAAACCAGGCCATGGAGCACTGAAGTGTTACAAAAGATTTGATCTCTCATATCAGGGAGAAAACACTATGCATCTGGCAAATCCTACAGCCTTTCATAGTGACATCTCACATAACGGCTCTGTGTCTGGAACCGGATTTGATCTAATCTGGTATCCAGATAGTGGCGCCACTCATCACATGACACCAAATGCTGATAATCTACAAGTTCGGACTGAATACCAAGGTTCTGATCAAGTCAAGATCGGTAATGGAACAGGTTTGACTATAAATAATACAGGGTTGGCATCTCTAGTTTGCAAACATAATCAGTTTGCCTTGAAGAATACCTTTCATGTCCCTTCTCTTACTAAAAATTTGCTATCTATAAGTAGATTTACCAAGGATAATAATCTGATTTTTAAATTTCATCCGGATTTCTTTGTCTTAAAGGACCATACGGGGAGATTTTTACTCTGAGGACCCAGTAAAGATGGACTTTATCAGTTTCCAGGAGCAGTTTAACACAAGATAAAGAACTTGGCAACTCTTGTAGGCAAGAAAACTTTTGTGGCAGAATGGCATCAACGACTTGGTCATGCATCTCTCTGAATTGTGAAAAATATTATTTCTAAGTTTGGTTTACCTTATTCTGGATCCTTCAGATGTCATTTTGTGTGTGAAGCTTGCCAAATGGGTAAAGCCCATCGTTTAAGTCTACCATCTTCAACTATTACTTTTTCTGCACCTCTTGAACTAGTTTTTTCTAATATATGGGGGACCTACCCCAACTTTGTCCAATAAGGGCTTCAAATACTATGTTCTATTTATGGATGCATATTCTCAATTTTCTTGGATTTTTCCTCTTGAAAGGAAGTCAAATGTGTTTAATGCCTTTATTACCTTTAAGAACCATGTGGAAAATCTTTTCTCTACAAAAATTAAGATGTTTCAGAGTGATTGGGGTGGCGAATTTTGCAATCTCTCTCGTTATCTTGATAATCCTGGTATTCTTCACCGCCTTAGTTGTCCTCATATGCATGAGCAAAATGGTAGTATTGAGCGAAAACATCGGCACATTATTGAGTCCACATTGTCTCTACTAGCATCCTCCTCTCTCCCCCAGTCCTTCTAGGCAGATGCTGCTGAAACTGCCATCTTCCTCATTAATCGACTACCAACCCTGGGCCTTGGTAATCTCTCTTCTTATGAGAAACTATTTGGAAAGCCTCTTGATTATTCAATGCTAAAGGTTTTTGGTTGTAAGTGTTACCCTCTTCTTCAACCTTATAATGCACACAAGATGGATTACCGTTCTACTCCCTGTATCTTTGTTGGCTATAGCAACAGTCATAAAGGGTAGCGTTGTTATAATCATGCTACTAGCAAAGAGTTAATTGCGAGACATGTTGTATTCAATGAGCACTCCTTTCTCGGATCAGCACAACCATCGCAACCTTCCGTCCCCGTTACCCCTACTGGAGTTCTTCTTCCTTCTTTGGGCACCATTAGTAGTGACGCGTGTCCAACTCCCGAGGTATCCTCTTCTCCCCTGCCATCTATATCTGTTACTAATGAGGCATCTACTACTTCCTCCTCTGAGCTAGAATAGGAAGTTTCTCTCAGTGTTGATTCCCTACCAGTTCTGCCCACCCGCCCTTAGGGGTGGCAATTTTTCACCCAACTCGTTGAACCTACTCAACCCACCCAGTATCTAATCCGCCCATTTACTTGGCGGATTGTGTGATCAACCCATCGCCCAACCCGCCCATTTCAATGGGTTGGGTTGGGTTGGGTTGTGGATAACCGTTGGGTTAACCATTACAAACATTAGTATTGATTCCTTAGCCTTTTTTTTTTATTTTCTTCATTTGAATTAAATAATTTATAATTAATGAATTAATTTTCTATTAATTGTTGACTAAATTTAGTTTTGTCTTGAATAATACACTTCACCCAACATAAATCCAAATCAATTTGACCCAAGTCCGGATCAGTTCAACACAGTCTGACCCGATCCAACATATATCGATCCGGGTTAACCCAAATTCGAAATAGACCTCGGACGGGATGGCTCAATACCACTTGCTTTGCCCAATTTGGGTCGTCCGGTCCAACCATTATTCACACAGCCTAGTTCGACCCAGTATAAGCTGGTATGGGTCGACCCAATCCGAAACGGGTCGGACCAGGTGGGTTCGAACCCTAAACCACCCCGCTTGCTTTGCCCAGTTTGGATTGTCCTGTTTGGTTCATATCCGTACAAGTCGACCCAAATCCGGCCCGGTCCGATTTACTTCTTTTGACCCACTTCGGGCCAATCGGTTCGGCCCCAAACCCATGCACAAACCTGATATGAGCCGACCCAAGTAAATCCACCATTGACTGAACCGGTCCTGCCTGGTCCGACTGAATTGAACTGGCCCGGTCGGGGTCTGGTCCGAGCGAACTAGACCACCGGTCCAATCGGGTTCGGTCTGGTCTAACCGGACTGAATCCGGTCTGAACGGTTTTGTCCAACTAGACTGAACCGATTTGGGCGAGGTCTAGTCCGACCGAACTTATCCGGATCTAAATGGTTCAACCACTCTTGAACTTGATGTGATTACCTCGAAGACAATCCAATTAGATAGTTCAAGTTGGTTGACCGGTTTGAACCTATGTGGTTCATCAAATCCAAAACCCGAACATAGTTAAATGGCTTTGTTGCTTGTATAAAAATAACATGCATGTAATGTGATTTGAACCTTGACCATTTGTGTAAATAGCAACTACTATTACCACTAAGCTATGGCTAACTTATTTGTTAAAAAGGAGTTAGTTTTTTATTTTAAGTACATAAATATAAGATTAATGGGTTTAGGCAGATTGGATTGAGTTAAAGCGGGTTTGGGTTGAACCCAACCCATTTAATTTTATATAACTGGGTCATTAACGGGTTGGCGGGTTAAATGGGTTAGGTTAAAACTCAACCCAAACCAAACCCAACCCAACCCGCCCAATTGCCACCACTACCCTCCCTATTCAGGAACTGTTGGACACAACTCCTGTTGTAGACCCTCCAGTGCGCACTCATACAATGATGACAAGGCCTATGACGTCTAGGTTGGCTCAGGCATTAATTGTCACTCGCCATCCTCTCCTAGTTGCTTTACTACATGATGTTCATACTCATGAGGAGGAATCCTCCTCCTACGGATAGGCTTCTGAGTCTCCTCACTAGTGGGCTGCCATGGTTGTCGAATTTCATGCCTTGCTTCATAATGGTACTTGGGAACTGGTTCCCTATGATGCTTCTATGAATGTGGTTGGCTCCAAGTGGGTTTTCAAAATCAAATGGCACCTTGACGGTTCCATTGATCGCTACAAAGCCCGTCTTATTGCACAAGGCTTCACTCAGGTTCCGGGCGTCGACTTCACTAAGACTTTCAATCCTATAGTCAAACCTGCTACTGTGCACACTGTTCTTGCTCTTGCAATTTCCCGTGGTTGGGACGTCCGGCAGTTGGATGTTCATAATGCCTTTCTTAATGGCTTCATTATCGAGACTATTTTTATGCATCAACCGAAAGGCTTTGAGGACAGCAATTATCCCCATCATTTCTGCAAACTTCATAAGCTCCTCAATGGGCTCAAACAGGCTCCTCGAGCTTGGTTTTCCCGGTTGAGTAACCATCTATATGACCTCGGTTTTCAGGGTTCCCAGTGTGACCCCTCTTTGTTCATTTACAGCTGAGAACAAATTACCATTTACATTCTTGTTTATGTTGATGATATTATTATTATTGGATCCTCCTCTGCTCATGTCTCTCAGCTTATCAGTAATTTATCTTAGACCTTTACTCTGAAAGACTTGGGGCCATTGCACTACTTCCTTGGTATTGAATCTCATCGTGGTGCAACCAGATTGTTCCTCAGCGTAAGTATATTTTGGATCTTCTGTTGAAGGCTAACCTTGTTGCGGCCAAACCTATTTCTAGTCCAATGGCCACCTCATCCCAGCTCTCTCAGTTTGTTGGTGAACCGCTATCTGATCTCACTCAGTACCGGAGCATTGTAGGTGCTCTTCAATACGTCACTCTGACAAGACCTGATGTTGCCTTCGTAGTGAACAAAGTTTATCAGTTTTTACAAGTTCCCACTGATGAACATTGGGGTGTAGTAAAGAGGATTCAAAGGTATCTCAAAGGAACCATTGACTCCGGTTTGTTTTTCTCGACACAATCGTCAGACACGTTGACAACATACTCCGATGCTGATTGGGCTGGTTGCCCCGATAATAGACATTCTACTGGCGGATATGGCATTTTTCTTGGTTCTCATTTGATTTCGTGGAGCGCTAAGAAGCAACCTACAATAGCTCGATCTAGCATGAAGGCTGAATTCCGAGCTCTAGCTTATGCCACCATCGAACTTTTGTGGTTAAATTCTCTTCTCTCCGATTTGGGGGTCAAACTTAAGTCTCCACCGGTTCTCTATTGTGATAGTATTGGGGCCAGGTATCTTGCAGCTCATCCCATTTTCTGGGCCTGTACTAAACATATTGAGGTTGATTTTCATTTCCTTCGGGATCTCATCGTTAAGAAATGTCTGATTGTGCGATTCCTTCCCACACAGGATCAACTTGCTGATATTTTCACTAAGCCACTTTTGTCTTAACGATTTGAATGGCTTCGGTCCAAGCTTCAAGTGCTCCCAGCCCACTTTCGCTTGAGGGGACGTATTGAGGTCGGCCAGCTCTAGCTCTTCTCCTCTTACCAAATAAAGCTCTAACCTTCCTGCTAAAGAGAGCTCCAGCACTCTTACCAAAGAGAGCCTCACATCTCCTACCAAAGAAGGCTCTAGTCTTCCTACCAAAGAAAGACCAGCTACTATACAGATGACTCTTACCAAAGATAAATCAATCAGAGCAAAAAAGAAATTCTCTTCTTAGCAAGTTTCCTATTGAAGACCTTTCCTCATTTCTATGTTTCTATTTTTGTAATTATTTCTAATTTATTCTTTATTATTTTTGTATAAATATTCAGCCATGTACAGTTATTCATCATAGTGAAACTCGACTCATTCTTTTAATCTTGTCTTTCAAGCTTTAACTGTCCGGGAACCTTCATTGTTTCCTAATTCAAATGTAATTATCCTCTCTTATAAACATCTATAAAATAAAAACAAGAAAGAATACATAGGGAAAACCAACTGCGAGCGTGGTGGGGGACCTCCTTGCATGCCTAGAAGCTAGAGTTCAATTCAAAATTTTTGTTTTCCTTCAGCCATACTGCATCTACCATGCATGCATAAGAACTGACTCCTAGTTTCCTTTTTAAAATATCTTTACCCAATAAAAAGAGTTTCTTTTCCAAAGTAAAGGACTTGTTTGCCTACCCAGATATAGTTTAATGCAACTCAATTTTAATTCTAATGCCTACACCTGAACTACACATATAACTCATTGATTGAATTAAATAAATCAGTTTATCAAGCTTCTTGCTTGGTGGGAAACTGGAAACTTCACTAGATTCTAGACTTTCACTTTTATCCTTGTTGAGGGTGCGTTGGATTGACCTAATTAAGGCAAGCCTTGTTTGAATGATAGAAGTGGGCTCTTGCAGAACTTAAGTAGAGATATTGCTGAATCAGTTAATAGAGGCTTGTAGGCTGTAGCAGACATAGTACACAAACAAATACACTAATTAGTGATATACTTAACATGGGATTCATTTGTCATTATAGACACTTTATTTAATCCATTTTTTCTTCACAATGTGGTCCGTAAAGAATGCAATGCAGCCTTATTGTGTAAAGAAAAGAAAAGAGAGTTGCTGCAAAAGCTGGTTGATAGAAACGATCGATATATGTAAAGAAAAAAAAAATGATCCAAGAAACTATTTTTGGGCTTATTCTACAAGTTGCATGCAGCGCATTCCTTCATGTTAGCTGACCGGTGTTGTTTGTGTGTAAACAGTACACAAATACAAAGAAAAAGAAGAAAAAGGGAAAAGAGCTGGCTTTACTTTATTTGCACTTTGATGCATGGGAGTAATGTTTTTGCCTTGAACTACACTCCTCGTCTTTCATCTTCTTGGATCGTAGTTCTGTGACTTTTGTCGTCGCTCCTCTCCTGGGGATCTTATTCTGAATGGTGGGAGTAAGACTACTGTCTACCGACTACACATTCACCACTCCCAATGACTAGCAAGTAGCAATCAGTGTTGAGTGTCGTCAACCTTGGGCGTATCGTCTAGGGTAGCATCGCGCCCATCGCCCCTGTCTGTACGTTCTGGTGCTGCAATGGAGTACGTGTACGTTGGCAAAAGCGTTCGTGTTCACGTTGGGGATGGCAATGGGGCTTTTGGGGGGAATTCTGCTCTTCGCAGTTCATACGCCCTGGGCTGGGCCTTCAGCTTCAGCTTTCTGTTCTGTCCCTATCATCACACGTGTGTACTTAATTGGGCCTCGCCTGGTGGCAGACCCGACATTCACCACCTGGTTTCTTCATTGTGTCGGAAGTGAGCCCACTAAAGTATTCAGCCTTCCTCACGTATCCCTTGTATAATAATGTCATCTATTTTGTTTTTTGGAGCCGTTTGTCACGGGTGTCCGGTGGACTTCCCGGTTTATTGATGCCGGAAGGCCAAATGGTGGACGTGTTTCAGCTTCATCTGTAATCCAAACCCATATCTCTCATCATACATGGAAGCATTTTCTCATGGTTTACCTGCAATAACTTAAATTTGATGAAAATTCATTGATTGGTTACTGTTTTTATGATGCCGGTTGATTGGTTGTAACTTGTTTTAGTTTTTAGTATCATGCAATTGAATTCATATATAATATTTAATAAAAATAAGGGATAAATATTAAGTGTTTTAAGGAGAGAATAAGAGAATTAACTGACCTAAAGACATGCAATAAAACAGGCATCAAGCGTTTTATATACCTAACAGATTTATGAGAATTCTTTTCTCTATAAGGGCAGTATTTAGGTTGAGTTCTGTTTTTTGATTTTAAGAGAGGGGGGACCAAGAATCCTGTAAAGTTTATTTTCTTGAGTATCACTTACCTAGGAAAGTGGTATTCATCTTTAAATGTAAGTAACTTTCCCACATAGAAGGAAAGTTGCCAACACTTAAATGGAACGAAAATGCCCCTTCTAATAATGGATTTCTATGGCTAAAATTGTCATTGCCTTATTTACCCGGGAAATAAAAAAGTATAGATAAATGTATTTACATAGATAAATATTTCCTAGGAAAAAATTATTCAGGAAATTTCATTCCAGGTAAATAACTTACTAAAAAATGAACAGGGCCTTAAATTTTTTTCAATACACTGTTGAAATAGAACACGGAAGCACTTTTTTCATTTTGAGGGCTTTTAGTCACCAAAAATAAATTAAGAAGGAAATGTTAAGGCAGAGATTGAATCAGCTACCAACACAGGGTTTCAACTAGAATAATGTTCCATCAACCCAGGAGATGTTTCCAATGCATAGTTGAAGTGCCATGTTGGGATAGTATTGGAAATGTTTTGTTGATAATAAATCCCCACCCATTAAGGTACGAGTACCTCCATCACCCACTGATCGTAAACCCTAGCTAGTTGGTATATTTATCATTATCGATTAGGGGTGCAAGTTGGGTTGGTCCAAATCAATACTTTACACTGTTTTAACAAAATCCCAGTCCTAACCCACAAAAGTTACACCCCTATTCTCGATGAATGATGAGAATTGAGAAGCCTAATGCGGCCATCTCTCCCTAATCTTTCAAATGGAAGATTTGTCGATGCTGCAGGTGGAATTGGCATAGAAATCAACTGATGAGAGTTGAATTTGGCTTTCAGGCTTCCCTAGTTCATTGCCGTACCCACAAATTATCTGTGATAGGTAAAGAAGAGAAAGAATTAATCCATTGTATTGATAAGGTCACAAATTAATGAAGGGCTTTCACGTACGTGACTTTTCATTATTTGATGGGGCTATGAAATATATGAACAATAAAAGCACAAGCTGAGATGGGGTGTCCAGTAGATTCTAATTCAAGATCATAGAAGTTCCTATGTAAGGGAACCTTTGTCAGGTTGCAACCAACGTACATATCCACTCAAATTAAAACTTTCATGCAAACATGTACCAAAATATTTAATTGTCACAGGATATAGGATATAAGAATAATCTTAGGGGCCGTTTTATAATTTCTGAAATCGCTGAACTGAATGACTTATTGTTTTATCTTATGACGAATAAGTTTTTAATTAAGGAGGTAAGCTCCTTAATTGGATTGACAAGTGTATTCTCTGATACTTAATTATTTAAAAATTGTATATAAAAAGAACAAAATAATAAGCCATTCAATTCAACAACTTAATTAAGCTATTATGCATCTTAATTTTCAAAGTAGATAATCCTCTGAATTTACTTTAGAAGTGATAAGTTTTGTCTTTTTGAATTTTTTTTAAAGGAGTTTTATTAATGAAATCTGGGAGGGAGATATGACCTGACCCCTCAAAAAATACACCATAGAAAACAAGCTTAATTAAAAAATAACAAAAAATAATAATTATACTGAGTGTAGAAACCTACTTTGGCTGGTCTCAAAGATCTATAAATTGAGTTCAGATCAGCTACCAACAACGTCCTAACCATCCATTGCCAACAACCTTGCAAGAGGAAATGTTACTTGTTTTACATTAGATTTTTATATCTGTTTCTTGTTTTCCATTGTAATTCAACCTTGGTTCTGCGTTTCCTTTTCAATGTTTACTATCTAAAAATTTAAGCTATTGGATTATAGGTCATTCTTGTATATAAATCCCTTGCATTTCTCATTCATTTTGAATATGAAACTTTTACTGTACATCATTCACATAAATCCTAACAGAGATCTCTTTTATATATAATCCTTTGTCTCAGCACTAACCAATTGAATGAAGTTCACTCGGTTATGATGATAAATGAACTCCTAAGCCCAAATGAAAAATTTTCATAAGCATTAGGGAAATTCTTTAAATTAAGACAGTGCAAACACGTACTAATCATGTGAGCCTTACATCATAATTTATCTTGATAAATTGACGTTCATATCAGACATATATAACTTATCAGAACAAACAAAGTCATGATCTTACATAGTTAGGTGGAATTTGTTTTTGTTTGTTTGACGGCAGCGCTTGGGGCATTGAAGTGACCCCTTACCAAGTCTGATGCAACTGCAAACGTTTCCTCAGGAAATAAAATGCAAAAGATTATCACAAGAAGCAATAACAAATATAGCCTTATTATATTACCTTTGCCTTAAATATTTTAAGTTATTAAACTCTTCTTTATTTGCTTTGGTCGGTGTTTTAAGTTTATTTTAGTAAAAGTCAATTTAATTTGGGAAAAAACAAAACAAAACAAATAAACACAAGTGGTTCCAAATAGATTTTTTATGCAGCCTTTCTTATCTTGTTCAAGTAAAATTACAAAATATTATTCAGGGCCCGTTTGATTCATAATTGGAATTGAAGTTCATCTGAATCAGAATTAGAATGGTCTATTTCCATAGTCTATTTGGTTCAGACAGGAATCGGAATGGGAATTGAAATCAGCTGGAATGGAATTTTTCATTCTCAAAGGAGAGGGTGGGAATGGCCATTTCCTCAAATGCGAAATGGCCATTTTCTGAAATAGAAAAATAACATTCTACCAGAAATGAAAATGGGATTCTAATTACGTTCAACCAAATAGTTGAAATTAAAATGGTCAATTCCAAACCCTTATTCCCGTGAATCAAACAATCACTCATTTTATTTATATTAGTTCAATTAGATTCATCCACAAATATTGACTGCATGTTAAATTCAATTCTCAACTAATCATGTTAAAATTTATTTACTTATATTATTAATTCACGTTTCATAATATATGGTTTCAAATTAATAAGATCTAATTATCATTACATTCAACCAATGATGTCTTTTATGACACAACGTGGTGAATGCATCATAGATTTTGCCTTATATTTGAAGGTGTTTTAATTCTAATTTTATTATTATTATTATTATTATTTGGGAGGGAGACAGGATGTTGCTTTTCTGATTAATTAATGAGTGATGAACCCAGGCACGAAGCTGCTTATCAAGTTTACAAACAAAAAATGTCGCTTTCTGTAGTCAGCTTTCTAGTTTCTAAGCGTATCTTTCAAGCTTCTTTGTGGGTGGAAGTGTTTAAACTTTAAAATTCTTGATTGGTGAAGTTTGTCGGGAAAAAAAAAATCAACATTAATTGCTTTTTGCCTCTCTATCTTGTATGCATGTAATTTCAACTTCCAGTGGTGAGTGGTGACATGTGCATCTGTGATGCGTGGACGACTAAATTTGGTTAGGAGAAGAATTATGATTTCATCAATTTGATGGTTATTTAATCATCCACAGAAAAGCTTAATCCAATCACCAGGTCTATTCCGCGGTTAATAAAAATGTAGATTGGTCTGCGATGGATCAGGTCTGCTCGATAGAATCGAATCGGCCATATTGATTATCTTTGTGGTTTAATTTGTATTTTATTAAAACATTCCACAGTTTGCAATTAATTTATTTAGTATGAAAATAAAAAATAATAGTTTTAATCAAGGTTATAAATATCGATATGCCTGATATGTATATCAGGCAGTACCGGATTTTTTTTTTTTTACTTTTTTTTTAAACAGGCTTCTCCACCCCCTGAATTGGTCAGAACCCCGAATCCAGATACACCCTCTGTAAGGGTACATCGGGATGCTCCCAATACGATATGTATCAGCCAATACATGTTGATACTTTGAACCTTGGTTTTAATCATAATATCCATTCAAATAAATTTAATCAAAATAAACTAAAAATAAAAATATTTTCTTGCCCCTAATAAAACACGGGCAACCATGGGTCCATGCCCTTGAACATTTTTCACTCAGTTTAGGGGTGTTTTTGAAATAAACAATCATGAGTCTATGTCCTTGAACATCCAATTACTTTAGGTGATGGTGATACTATTTTCAGATGATAAAACAAATAGTTCTTAATGAAAGGTCAATTAAATAAACAGCTTACAAATTATAAGGGATGTTATAGTAAAATGCAAACTATAAGATAAATTTACATAAATCTATAAAACTATAGGGAATGTTCTAATAAATGACCCTAATTAATTCGATTTAGGACTATTTTATAGAACTGATTTAAAATCGGTTTGGAATTGGTCCACTCGTTCCCTAACCAGACCCGGTCCATTAACAGCTTTAAAGCAGATGGAATATCGTCACAAGGCTTAATCCAATCACCTCACTTTACCCGAGAGCAGGTTAATTAACGTGAACCTAAGTCACACATCTGAATGAATCCACGGTGATCTGACTTGCTACTTACATTCAAATGTGCCACTTAGTCCACAGTGCACCTGCCACCCTAGATTACATATTTTTATTTCTTCATGATGTTATATTACATTATTCTAATTTTTATTTGATCGCAATTTGAGCAATCATTTGAAACCAAGTCAACTTTGAATTTTCTGCAGTTGATTTGATCTATATAAACTGCTTGAAAATGTTAAGAAAAGAAGCCTGCATATTCTTCACAAATCGTGATCAGTGATCACATGAGAATACTCTCACCACGGAATCATTTTCATCCTACATCAATAACTGTTGACATTTTCAATTTTCTGGTGAGAGAATTCTCATCTCATAGCCAATCTATTTTTTTTAGGTTTATGAACAATTTTTGGCTCAGAACAAGGAAAAGAAAGTAGATATAGTTACTACCATCGAATCTCGTCTTCACCCTCTCCACTCTTTTTTTTTTCCAAGTTTTCATGGTCTAAAAATAAAACAATGGATAAGCGTTTTATCTACTCATTATATGTTGAATTGAAATTTTCTATTTAAAATGTTTTCCATCTTTTTACTTAGCCCTTTATTCTATTTTTTAATAAAATAGAAGGAGAAGAAAAGAAGAAGAATATATACTTGATAGCAAGGCCTTGTTTGTTTGATAGTATTTAACAGATAAGTTGGTCAATTGGTAAATTGACCATAATACCTACGTTCATTTGCCACTATATTGGGTCCTAAGAGTATGTACCTGCCTAATCAATACCTTCTTCCCAGGTGGTTGAACAATTTACCCACTCGCTTGTTGAAGCTGATAAACACTCTCCCTCTCATCTCTCTTTACCTGAGTAATTGATAGTGTACAAAAACACTTGAAACTTGTTTATCCAGATAAGTTTTTACTTGAGAAACATTTACCTAAATAAATAAATTATATAACATTTGAACATAATTGGTTTTTTTCTTTGGCTGCGTTTGGAAACGATACAAATAAGTGTTAATGTAAATACGTAGAGTGTAAAAAGGTCCATATAAATTATAAAATTGGGTTAATTTTGCACTGATAAATTTATTTTCTTATTAGACGGACTTTTAGTTGTAATGGATGTAAATACGAATTCTAATAAAGCATATGCCTTTTTTTATCAAAAGCCCACTTCAATACAAATTTACTTTTTTTTTATTGATATATTTTTACATCTTTTTATCAATGTAAATATGCATTGAAAAATATATATTTTATCATTTATCAAATATAATGTCGCCAAATACAGACAAAAATAAACTAGAATACAAATTCACCCTGAATCAAGATTTATACTCCATTTGCATAGTTTTCAAACACAGCTTTATTATCATACAGCTTTTACCCGTTCAGTTTTACTAAAACATGGTTTTAATGAAGAGTTAGTATCAAGAATAATCAGGGCATTTGATTTATAGGTGTGTCCCACCATAACATCACTTCATCTAGTTCATGGTGGCGCCACAACAATACATGGAAGGAAAACCTTGATCTCGTTTGTTAGCGAGCTAAAACTATGATATTATTTATAATTTGGTTAGTGTAGAAAAAGAAAATAATATTTATACAAGGCCAAGAATACTAACAAAATTATAATTTGGTTAATTTCGGTTTAACCATTAAAAATCATGTCGGTAATGATATAAATTTGGAAAAGCAATCACCAATTACGAAAGGCATTACGACATGGATTACAGAAGAAACTTGTTTGGTGCTTTTTTGTGTTTGTCTTTGGGTGATGAAAGCAAGGCAAACGCAACGCAAAGCTAATTCTATTTAAAAAAAAAAAAAAAAAAGTCAATAGCAGGTGGGTCATCCACCCGGTTGGTTATTTACGTTTGTCGAAGCGCTTACGCCTTACTATTTCATAATGTGGGAGGTTCTTTTGTAATTAAATATTTTCTATTCCGTTTAAAGTACAAAATTACCCTTTTACTACCTACGCGTGTTTATCCCTTAAGCCGACCGCAAAAGCGACTATCCATACGCAAACTCCAAAGTCCACAGGCCCACATCAATATTTGTCGATGTGGGCCCGGAACCCCACTTGGGGTTCTTTAATTCAGTTCTTGACAAATTTCAAATCCGGAAAGAGAACGAGTGTGTGGCGGGGGCGGCTATTTAGTATTTAAATAGACGCTCGATGGTCTGGTCTCTGCAGAAACACTTGTAGCAGTGGGGATTGAAAGAGACATGTTTTGCATCTCCTGATCTCCTCCTAGTCCTAGTCGCCACAGAAAGAGCGGCTTGATCCCTTCTTCTTCTTTTTCTTCGAATATCTTCAGATTTCTAGGGCAAATCTTTGATAGCTTTAATTTGCATAGATTTACGAATCCATAATGCTTGGGTTTTTGTTTTGACTTCTGTCTGTGATAATTTGGTGGAAGAACTCTTGAGATCGACGAGATTTTGGTTTCTCCGAAGATGAAGTCGAACGAGAAGCATAGCTCGTGAATACTTTTCCATTCGTGACAGCCGAAAAAAGGTACTAGCGATAATCACGGTGGTTTTGGTTGGTCGGTGTTTAGTTTTTGTCTCAGATTTTAATTTGGTATTGGTAGCTAATTCCAGGAGGTTTTGGTGATTTCTTTGAGCAGAACATTTGCACACAGACTGAAGTCGGTGAAGTTATCTCGTCGAGCTAGCCAGCTGGGTTCAGTAGAATCTGACCTTCTCTCAATATCAGATAAGAGGAAGAGAAGATTACTCCGTGCGGTCTTAGTGGAGCTTTAAGCAATTCGACTTTTGTTTCGATTCAGAAGAATTACGAAAACAGAAAGAATTTTGCCTCTTAAAACGATCTGATGGAATTACTCAAGTTTCTATTGTGAGTAGTGATGTCTAGTCGCTGAAGAAAATTGAAGTTTACGTAAATTCTGTTTGATTAGAAGAAATATAGCATTGGAATCACGGAACTTGATACCTTCTCCTTTGCCTTCTTCCTTCAAAAACTTGTGTTTCTCTGACTGTGTACTGTGTCTTAGAGAACTTTGAAGATATCGAAATATTCCATTCTAAGCTTTGATTTAATGGCAAAGCTTCTCCTTCAAGAGATTTTGCAAGCCATGGAGCTGAATATTGCTTACAATGTTGATTAAATTGTATATAACCTTCGAACAAATTAGTAGCTTTTCTTGAGAGTTGTCTGTAATGGACTTTTTGCTGCTTGGTTCGAAAGTGCCACCGATAAAACGACGAGCTGGTTTACGCAGAAAACAGGCTGGACGAGGCTCGTATAGAGGTAGTTAGGGAAGGGTAAGGTGTTAATTAATTTAGCTAGTTTGTGTTCGTAAACCTATTCTCCCCCCCCNCCGCCCGATAGTCAACAGATGGGGACTAATGTACTGAGGCAGTTGCTGAGGAGTCTGTGCGCTAATTCACAGTGGAAATATGCAGTTTTTTGGAAGCTTAAGCACCAGAGTCGAATGTAAGTTGTTTCCGGGACATTGTTCAGTTAGGGAAAGAGCTGTTAGCTATATTATTGTTTGTTTCGTTCTTTTTGCTGTCTTTTTTTATTCCTTAAAAATCTAAATCAACTGCTTATAAGCTATTTAACCGATAAGTGGTGCCCTAATTAGTGGACCAGGTTCTATTAATTTGAACTAAGCAAATAGCAAGTTCCTAACAACAGAGTCAATCAAGCCCTTGAATCACAAGAGAACAAACTACCCCACTATTCTTCATCATTTGCATTACAATGGCATTCCTCTTACATGGATTATATTTCTGAGACTGTTGGCGGCATTAGAACATGCAAAGTGATTATTTTACCATAACACAACTTGTATCTCTAAGAGGATAATTTGAATTGAATGATAAACGCCATTATCTTCCTAGTTGACAAAATTTTTAGATGCTTAGACTGTTGAATATTGGTTGTTAAAGGTGTAGAGAGTAGAAAAATCAATTGTCAGGACGAGGGGCAATTACAAAAGATTAAACAACTCTAATAACTCTACTTCCTTATTGTCAATTTTCTAATCAGTTTTCTTCTTTTTTTCAGGCTTTTGACCCTGGAAGATGGATATTGTGATTATCCAAAGTCAGTAGAGCCAATTGAAAGTATATCAGACGATGTCTGCTTAAAGGAGATAAATGGGTTTAAATCTTTCCAATGTGAAACAAGCACATCAGATGGAACTTCTGTGGAATGTCCAATTGGTTTAGCAGTAGCAAATATGTCATGCCAAGTTTACTCACTTGGAGAAGGGTATGTTTATTTTCTTAGCTACTAAAATTGCAAATTTTTTGTCCCTCTGTACTGCTTATAAAATGAATTTCATGCAATCAAATGATTAAGGCTATTATATATCCATCAAATTACAAATTATATGGGTGTTTGTTCTGTATTCTTCATCATCATTATATTACTGAGTCTTTCTAATGCTTCAGCTTTGATTTTCCATGAAAAAAAGGTGCACGACCAACTCAGAAATGAAAGTGTTTGCTTTTAACTATTGCTAACATGTTCGTCACAGGATAACATATGTACATTTTTTAAGCTTCTATGGTTATCTTGCAATATTGATTTGAGAGGCAACAGTTAATAAATCATAAATTAGAATTATTCAGAGCCTGATGCTAATTAATGTAGTTATATCATCATTCAAGGTCAAATGATTTAAAGATATATTGAATAAACAACAAATGGGTAGTAAAATAACTGTCTTTCCAATCCCTCAGCTTTCCTGTTGTTGACCACATGACCCTGGTTCTCAGCCTTGAACTGGGTGCCTAGGTATTTACATAGTTGATCAGCAATGGACCTTGGCAACAGCGTATCCAATGTTATATAATTACAAGCTGATATTTATTTCCATGGAAGCTTTATAAACTCAAGCTATGAAATATAATTTCGACATCTCTCAAAGATTTTGCAACAGTACCACTCCAATTTCAGTTGTTCCCAGGGTGATTATTATAATTGCATAATTAATTAATATGTTACTCAATCAGGACTGTTGGTAAAGTTGCATCTTCAGCAAAGCATTGTTGGATTTTTTCTGACAAGGTCTACAGTGGTATCAACTCTAAGTTGGTTGAGGTGAGTCTTCAAGCAAAGTTCCTTCTGTCAAGATAATTGATACTTATATTGCAAGTGCTAGTCAGAGACCAAACTGATTCAGTTCATTCCATATATAGTATCCAGATGAATGGGCACTTCAGTTTGCAGCTGGTATCAAGGTAATTTCTTCCCAGAAAAAGGGAGTTGTATCTGTTTCTGTTATTTGGCACCATAACATAGATATGTCTCAAAGAACCATCCAACCTAAAAGCTTAAGCTGTTAGGTGAGATCCTTGAATAGGTTGATATTCTCTAACATGCCCCCTCACACGAAAGCCCATTGGGCTTGAAGTGTGTGTACAAGCACAGGCTCACCCATACCTTGTGCTGAAACTTAATTAATTATATAATGGGGGTAATGAGGATCGAACACTAGACCACTTGGTCAAAGTGACTCTAGTACCATCTCAAAGAACCATCCAATCTAAAAGCTTAAGCTGTTAGGTGAGATCCTTGAATAGGTTGATATTCTCTAACAATATGATTATCATAGGTGAAGTATGATTTTGCAGACGATTTTACTTGTACCTGTTACACATGGCGTTGTGCAACTTGGCTCTCTGGAAATGGTACGTGAATGTTGTCAGCTTAACACATTGACTATAAAACATGTCTTAGATCATATACACATAGTCTGAGAACTCTCTGGTTGAGTTATTAAGTTCCAATGCTATGACTTTGTAAGGGTCTTACAAGTCATGTAGTATTATCTAGTTGAGAAAATGGACTCTGATTTTTGGTCTTTAGACAGTTCCAGTGACATCAAGTTTGGTCTGCATGGTGTTGGACCCAGAAGACCCCTTGGTTAAGTGGCTCAAAGATCACTTGATCTTTTTCCCTTTATGCAAACATAACATGGGCATCTCAATCCCCATATTCCTGCACCCTCCATGCATAGCAGAATTGGTTTTGCCTTGCTCCAAATTGTTCAGAGTGTTTTAGTGTGTGTTACAATTCTTTCATCGGTTGCTCATCTGCTGAAACTGGGATCACCATCCTTAGATATAACATTTATTAAGTATGACATTCGGTTTTTCTTTCCATGAAGGTTCTTTTTTTTTCCATGACATTATGCTCAAAGATTCTGTTTTCCTTGATTGTTTTACAAGTCTTAATCTTATAAAAAAGGTACTTAGTATACCAAGATCTAATGATCTATCATTCCAGGAGGCATGGTATCTAAATCACAAATTTTATTTATTTATTTATTTATTTATTTTTGGCATTTTGTTATAGCTTGATACGGCTTCAAGGCAGTTTTACATATGATAGAAGTATTTCCTATGTTCAACAAGACCTGTACTTAAGTTTGTATTGGTCACTATGCTATAACAGTATAACCAACTGATATTAGAATAGTACAAGGTTGATGATGGCCTATTTGATTTTTTTTACAGTAGTATGTGTTTATTTGTGATCTTTGATCGTAAGTGCCTTGTCTCATAGTCTTTCCACTTGTCATGCCAGGTTGATGAAGATCTTATGCTGGTTGCTCGTATCAAGGATATGTTCAACACCCTTCAGTATATTGGAGGAACTCCCCTGCCTTTAACTTTAAGAAAGGACCTCCTAGCTCTTCAACCATCCTCACTGGCATCTCTCTTCTTGGAGAACTTAGCTGATCCATTTGCTATTCCCAGTAACATGCTAAATCCAATCCAAACAGAAGCATTAATGAAGAATCCATTTTTTTGGGATGATTCTCAGACAACAGAAATCAAACTGTCAAATATAAGTCACCAGTTTATGCCACTATCATTTGTTCAAGACAGCTTTCAGGTCCTCAGAAGCACAAAGGATGCTGAGTTTGATGTTCTGTCAATGGACTCTTCTGAAGAAGCATCAGTGATTCAAAATCAGTTTTTGAATGCTAACCATTCGGAGATAATGGAAGGAAACATGCTTAGTTTTCCTTCTCTTGAGGAAGGTTTGCAGGCCTCTTATCAATGTGATGGTCCTAACATAGGAGACACAAATTTGAACATGGATTTTTATCCGGTTGGAGATATGATGGATCAACCATTCAGATATGAGACTATTGATGAGATGGATCAGATTGACATCAGTGGCTTTTCAAATTTTTCCATAGAATCTGAGCTATACAAAGCACTTGGCCCAGATTTTCAGAGAGGAACCAATGAATTCCTATTTGACTCAACTATTCCATGCCAGGATATATGTGGGAGATCAAATCCAACCTGGCATAGAGATCTCACCGGGAGAATTGAGCAAGCAGATGTGGAATCTAATTCATGTTTTAAGAAAGGAAGTGATGCTGAACATCTCTTGGGTGCCATGGTTGCCAACTTATATGGTTCTTCAGATGATACTGCATCTTACAGATCTAACAATGTCTCACTAACTACTTCCTCAGGGCAGCTAGGTGCTTCTTACCAAACACAGTGTCCATCTGAAGGTAGGCTGTTGGTAGGAGATGATTCTGTTCCATGGTACAAATTGAGGTCTTCATTTGTGTCAGGAGGAAAACAGGTTACTAGTACCACTCAACCTGGGGCATCTTCATTGACAAGCATGATGAGCAAAGTGATTGACAAAGAACAAAGAAAAAAGGAGTTTGGATCTAAGAGGGGCTCAAAGTCGTCTCATGTTAATCAAAGAAAGTCCAAATCCATTGATATTCAGAGGCCAAGGCCTAGGGACAGACAGATGATTCAAGATCGCGTTAAGGAATTACGAGAACTTGTCCCAAATGGTGCAAAGGTGGTGATTTTGTACCATCTCTTTCCCCTGGTTTTCTTTTTATTTTTTGGTGGGAAAAATATCCACTTATTTTTACTTGTTGCAGTTTTAATACTCTGGGTTAGCTTCTCATTTTTCCTTTTTTATGTTCTGTAACAACAGTTTAGCATTGATGCGCTATTAGACCAAACTATTAAGCACATGCTGTTCTTAAGAAGTGTTGCAAATCAAGCCAAGAAATTGGGGCAGTGCATGCGTCCAAAGGTATCAGATCTTTCATATGCTTCTTTTATTTGGTTTGCACTTCCAACCATTGGATTTTATAGAATGCAATCTTAACAAACTCAAATTATCTTTCTCCAATTGAAACTGTTGATCAGGTAAAGGATTCTCTTTGAGATGCTTATTTTGTAAACGGACTTGAAGCATATTTCAAGATGTAAATCTCACACTCCACATGAAACACTATATTTTAAAAAAAAAATTAATTAGATTCATATCTTTGGAACCACTGATCTAGTTTATCATGTAGTTTGTATTGGTTATCATATTCCAGCAGTAGCAGCCATATCTTAACAGGGAAACACTGTACATGTATTTATTTTTTGATCAGTCACTGTATCTGTATTTATGTTCATAGTTAAAGACCAATAGACCATGCTTTCTCTTGACCGGATCTGTAGATCACCATGAACTTTTACTCTTATACATAGATCTTGGAGATGACAAAATCACCTATATGATGGTTTTGTTCATAGCAATTGTTACATGCACAAAACATATAATTCTTACCCCATAAAATTAAAATGAATAAGAGTGGGCATCTTAAAATCATGGAACATCTGCTTGTAAAACCTAAAAATCATTGCTGTTGGGTGTTGCAGAGGTTAGGGTTGAACCCATGCAAGCAAGGTCGTTTTAAGTTTTACTTTTCTTTTTTTCTTTTTTTTTTTTTTAGTTTTGCTTTTGAAAATCAATTAAGGGGGTTCTCAACAATGTGTATGATATTTTTACATACCGGAAAACACCCCCTAAGAGTACGACTAACTGTTACTGATTCTGATTAACCAAAATTAACCACCACCATTATTTAGAGGTTCCTAGCACTATAGCATAATTGTATAACTTTTTCTTTTTTCCTTTTCAGAACATTGGTTGTAAGAACTGGAAATCTGGAAGCCAGAGTCACCAGAATGGCACCAGGCCCTTTCAAATGGGAACTCAACTAGGAGCGTGCCCTATAGTGGTGGAAGATCTGGACTACCCAGGACACATGCTCATTGAGGTATTTTCTAATAATTTCAGTTTCAACCTACCAGAGTCTATTTTTCATAAGAACGTAATGCTTCAACTTTAATAGTATTGTAATCATAATGATGCAAACTAAACTGGCGAACCCATTTCCAGAACTGTTTGGTGTTGGATTCTAGCATCAACATCTTGATTTGGACTAGAATTGATGATCACCTTATGATGCAAAATAAAAAAAATCCTAATTTGGCCAAGCCAAAACGTCTATACCTGGGTGTTTGTACTTATTACTGTTTTCTCATATGACCCACAAACCGGTTTTGATTCTTATGGTTATAAATAGCAACCTGTCCTTGAACTAAGATTTTTCATATAGATTTACTAAAAGAGGCATAAGCTACTTACAAGTATGAATTTTGTTTAACATTTTTAATATATTTTATTTTTATTATTATTGTTTTTTTCTTGTATTAGAGGTTAAACGGTCAATAGTATCTGACCTAGCATAACCATAGACACAACACCCAACTCAGGTGGCGTTTGATAAATCTGAAATCTGAAATCTGGAAAGTTAAAAAGATATTAAGTGTCTGAAATCTGAAAAGGAATAATGTTTTTCTACTTTGTAGAGGCTCTGAATATATAAGGCTGTTTGTGTTGGACCGAACCTTCGTCATCTGAAATTCCTTGATTTTACTATTTTAGCCTTAAAACAAACTATTTGATAATTTTGAGTTCAATTTGCACTATTTCATAAAAAATAAATTATTAAATTCAAAAGTAATATTAAAAATATGAATAATATATAAAAATAAAAAATAATTTATTAAAATAATAATAAAATTGAAAAATATGTATAAACTTATAAATTAAAAATAAATAATTAAAAGTTAAAATAATAATGAAAATATTAATAAAGTCCATGAAGCAATGAGAAAATATTTAATAATTAGCAAATTAATATCTTAAAACTATTAAAATATTTAATAATTAATAAAATTTAAAATAATTAATAATTAATACAAATAAAATTTAAAAAAAATTAATAAAATAAGAATAGAATTGGAAAATATGTATAAATTTATAAATCAAAAATAAATTATTAAGAATTAAAATAATAATAAAGTCTAGGAAAACAATTAAAAAAATATTTAATAATTAGCAAATTAATATCTTAAAAACTATTAAAATATTTAATAATTAATTTTACCACTTGCAACAATATTCTATTTTACATTAGTTGTAGAGAAAGTGAATGGAACGGAGATGACAATGATTGGGAGTGGAGAAGAGATGGAGAGAGAGTGTCGTAACCAGTCTGTGGTGCCTTCGCCATCAGGGAGAAACCCTGCCAGTAGTTTTCTTGGTTTCGAACCTAGATAGAACTACAGAAGAATGAGTTGATGAATCCTAGTCCCCAAACAACAAAATCTTATACCCAATCCCAACTCCAAAGCTTTATGGTGGTTGATCTCAAAGAGAGGGAGAGAGAGGGGGGGATGGGATTTGAGAGATTTTCAGTCCAGTGAGATCTCCATCGTAGGGTTTCTTCGAGTTCTCCATCGCAGTCTCCCTTCCCATTCGATGGCAACAAATCGAATAGGCTTTGATCAAGTTTAAATGAGAGTATAATGTCATTATTAAAAATATCAAGGAAATTTTAGACTTTCGGCCAGGTCGAAGTGCATCTGACGGCATTCAATGCCTGGCCTGGGTCTCAAGGTTTAAGATCTAAAAATGCATTTTAGGTCTTTTTTCTATATTCAACCCAAACATAGGTGGCGTTTGAAAAGCAACATTTTCAGAGTTAAGAGGTCTGGAAAATGTTATCAAACGCCACCTCAAGTGATTATCACACACTGAATCTTTGATAAATACCACCCCAAGTGATTATCTTTTTGGAATTTGCTGCAATCCAGACTTGGTCGCCCCAAGTCAATGGATGGAGAATATCCGACACGGCATCTAATAAGCGGATTGGATTCCTATGGTTCGTTTGATAGGGCAAACCAATCCAGAGGATAGTTATTGCTTTTAATATTATATAACTATGGTTTTTTTCTCATTCGTTGTAGATGTTATGTGACGAACATGGACTATTCCTCGAAATTGCTCAAGTTATCCGACACCTAGAGCTGACCATCATAAAAGGCGTGATGGAGAGCCGGTCGAACAAAATCTGGGCCCATTTTATTGTCGAGGTAATTAGCTATAGACGTGGTTAGATACTAAAGATATGTTTTACTTTGCATAGAAATTACACTAATCAATTTGTACTAATGCAGGCTTCGAGTGGTTTTCAAAGAACGGATGTATTCTGGCCCTTGATGCAGTTATTACAGCGGAGCGGCAATCCCATCGCAAGCAAGTTTTGATGCTTTTTCGCTCTTAATGATATGGAAACTCTCCAAGATTGTATCGGACTAAAGATATACATAATGATTATTTATGTTGCACAACACGAGCGATTATTTTCTTGCAAGCGACAGAGAAGAAAAAGTCGTGGTCTTCTCGACCATGAAAGAATCATGATTCACGCATGCATATATGTATATATGTATACATTAAATTTATATTTTATATGTACATATAATGTAGATAACATACAGATGACCTACATTAGTCAAGAAAGGGGAAAAAAAAAACTAACGTCCTAACAAAACTGCATCAGCCTCTGAATAAGTTTGTCTCAAATTGGTGACTCAGCCAGCACCAGCGTGTGCCACCAGCCACAGGCTACTTTTTTTGGGAGGCAACCATCCAGGGGAACCTGACAAGGTAGTTTGCGATCGCTGACATCACCCAAACCAAGCTGCCATTCAACCAGCAGTACATACAATTAGAATCTGTGATGCCGAGTAGATCCAGTTTATGTTTGGTCAAATCAATCAAATCGCTAAAACCATACCTGGCCATACTTGTTCCATCCCCAGCAGAATACTTTTCCATCATCTTCAATTCAGAGCCACAAACATAAAAGTTAAAAGGAGTCAGGTTGACTCATCCGCACAAGGCCTACCTTTAGCAACATGCTACTTTAACTACAATTATGATCCTACCTTTCAATAAATCCCCAGGAATTCTATCATCCCGGCGTGCCTCTTCTCACATGTACGATATACCTCTTTTATTAGTATTTCCTTGAGTTGGAGATGACACAGTAGAAAAATGTCAGACCAAGCGAATGGAGGAGCAAGCAAGTTGACTGTCCTCCACTCGTATGGAAGGTGTGACAACAAAACTTAAGCATATCTTAAGATTGACCCATTTACATTTTAAAATAGCACTTACGCTGAAATGCTGTTGACAACACTTCCTCTGCTTTGCCTTTTTGTTTTTCTTTTCAAGTTCCAAGTATGTGTGCATTATGTCAAATGCTTATGTTACAAAAGCAAAAAGAACACAGGAATATCTTCCCAAGCATACTTATCAAAAAAATCTTCCCAAGCATTGGTAAATCACCATACCATCATATCAATCACTTGAAGTTTGTTTCTGGTTTTTATAGTTGCATGACTAATGACAGTTTCCACTAATAAGGTTTTGAAGTGAATGGATTCATCAAGGATGTTGATTTATAAATAAGAGACTTTCCTTTTTTCATCCTTAGTAAATAATACACGAGTGGCTGGATGAATGGCCATAATTTCCTAAAAGAGAAGAAAACAAAAACAAAATACTGGACCATAGCTTCCCTTGAGGCTATGTTTGGTTTGAAGGAAAAAGTAGGGAAAAGAAAGGAAAGGTAGGGAAACTTATAGAAGATTTGTGAAGGTTTCCCTAACTTTCCTTTCCTTTCCCTACTTTTTCCTTCAAACCAAACATAGCTTGAAGGTTTGATGAATCCAGGAGAGTGGTACAATGTGATGTCAGACCACCAGGACACGAGGGTCACACCCAATAAATTGGAACTATCAAGTTTTATGTAATATGAATCCAAAGGTTAAAGGGTGATGATGCTCACAGTTACTAGCAAGGCCAAATAGTAGTCTATATCAAGGAAATTGCCTGTACTTTGAAGGCATACCTGTGATCACAGAACTGTGCCGAGCTCCACAAGAAACAAATTTTGCACTCCTATTCTCCAAACTTGGGGCATCCAAGAGCTTTGGAAGAACCTGAATCATAAACCCATTAAGTGCTTAATTCCGGTATCAAATACCTCCAATGGACAGAACACTGTTTCTAACAGGAGGAAATCAGTGGTACTAGTAACCTTGGTTTAGACTGCAGGGTCAGTACAAAATGGAATAGTAAGACTTACAACAAATACACAAATGGGTAGGAGGGAGATTGCATGGGACATCCAGGTGATACCAAATATCCCTTATATTCATTTTCACTATACAGCATATAATCCAATTCACAGAACAACAAACTAAGCTGATAAACTGGATAGTTAGGATTCCTACCAAAAAAAAGATAGTTAGGATCATCTAAATTGGATGCAAATTCAAATCTATTTTATTGGTACCGGCAAGAGTGTCAAAATTTGACATGTGTACTAGGTGTTGGACTCGGCAAGCCCAAGATAAAAATAAGATTTGGGGAGTTGGCTGTTATACTTTAGTTTTAATTTATATTTTTAAAGATATATCTTTAATGTTATATAAATAATGATGATAATTACTGAAAAAAGATTAAATATAGATAAATAAGTGAATGGAAATAGTACTAAGCAAACAAGGATTAAAAAGTACCATTACCCAATGGCCAATGTTGGTCCAGCCATATGGGTCCTGAGAGGGATGGACTGTATGCAGTCCAAACCTTTGGCATTTTCTTGCATAAAGTGAGCCATACTACGCAAAATAAAGAGCAATTATATTAAACTAAATAATGAACTATTAATCTTATCAAAAAAATGATATTGAACTATTAAGAATTAAAACTCTCATGTCCAATTTTTTTACTTAGGAGTTTGAGGTTCCTTGATCACATATTACATGTGTCAACAAGTAGAGTCCCCCTGAAGTGTTGTGTGGGTAGTCACATGTTTGACATAGGTACAGTGCCCCTTTATGAGAAGAACAGAACCTGTTTTGATGTATTCATGTGACAAAAATTCAAATTTGGCCTAGATGTCATGGGTGGGAAGCACAGATTGGACAAAAGCTAATCAGCTACATGCTATTCAATAACAGTTTTTAGTAAAGTAGCAAGGATACAAACTAGCTATTTGTAACTAAATAATGGAATTAATTGGCATAACTGCTGCCCAATAATCTAAATCAATCTAAGAGCTAATTTAGTAGTTTTTTACGTACTCCATTTCCATGAACTGACTAATTAGCTCTTCCATTTGCCCTTGACTTACGTAATCTGGTTTTCATTTTACATGCCCAGGACTCCAGCACAATGAGTTTCCTAAGCCCTGCGGTCCAGCTAACTCCCAAAAATGAGCTTTTAGTTGTTGACGGGTTCTACCATGCTAATACATGGTAAGGTGGAAAATATTTTCTTTCTAGGGATTCATGTTGGACAGAATGCATGCTAATACATTGCTGCATAGTCATGTTTTATTTCCATCCTAAACTGCTGATAGAGCATTAGTCTTCATTAAATCCTACAGTCCATGATTTGATAGAGCTGTTGCAATGGTCAATTTGTTTTCATAGTTTCCTAGACAAGAAAAAATATTGACTCCAAAAAGCATTTCATGCATTAGAAAATAGCAGGAAAAGGAGAAATACCGTTACCCACAAAACCAAATGAAATAACCTGTAAAGATTGAGAAGACCATATTGGGACTCTCTTACCTCATATTTTCCTTCTTTGCAAGGCAAGTTGTCAAACCAATACCCACCTGATTTTTGTGACAGATATTTGCTAACAGTTTTCACTATCTTTATTACCAAGGGGACCAACCATTAGGATATAGATACTTTATTTTGGCCTTTCTCCTCCCTACTTAGAAGAAGGGGAAGATATCATGGAGGTGCAGAAGAACAGCCATTCTTAGACAATTTGGGGAAAAAATGCCAGGATTTTTTCAAACAAGTATCAACCCAAAGACTATAGTAATAGAGATCAGTCAACCGTTAGATAAAGAATTTGGAGGAACTTTCTTGTTAATCCACATGATATCTTTAGGAGATGGCAAGTACTTGCATCAACTTTAATGGGTGTAGCTTGGGTAAGCCTAATGTATCAGGAGTAAGAGGCGCAACAAAAAATCATGAATAGATTTTATTGCCATTAGGGCTGTCAATGGGTCGGGTCCTCCTAGCCAACGGACCTGATGGGCCCAAACTAATTGGGCCAGTTCTGGTTCCAGGAACTGGAACCAACGGGTCAGTTCTGGGTCCTAAACTCCTAATATAGTGTCCTAATTATTATCAGTTTGGAACCGGTTCTACCCAGTCCCGATCTGATTCAGACCCGACCTGAGCTATATACATAATATATATAATGCATAATATATAATGTTTAATATATATTAAACATTTATTTATTTATTTATTTATTTATTTATTATAATTGGGTCTGTTGGGTCAGACAACTCAGACCCAATTATCCCAAGAATTGATCGGTTCAGTTCTGGGTCTGAAAGTTACAGACCTGGGTTGGTTCCAGATCCTCAATATTTTATGTCGGGCCAGTTGTCATTTTCTAGTCCAGTGAACATTGGAAATTCTACAATTGCAGAAAAAAATTGCTTCTCCATGGGCTTTAATTACCAAAGGAGACAATGGGCCTATTTGGAAGGGCTGACCTGAAGATTCAGCCAAACTGGTTTAGTTGCTTTAAAGCACTCCCAATAAGCCATTCAAAAAGGCTGAAGCAGACATCCCTTCAAATGACTGACTGACAGTTCATTTGGGCTCCCTGGATTTTTCACCGAACATAACTTACATGTGGGGCCCACCTCAGAAAGCCAGAAGCCACTGCACTGTAGTCCTCCCAAATGGGCACAAATTATAGAAATTTGATTATCAAAGAGGGCCCACACATAGTAATAGAGCAACTAAAAGTGAACCTGGCAGGAGTATGACAATTGCTTCAGATTGGAGAAGCAAGGCAACTAGCAAAAACTTGTGAACTTCTTTTACATGGCTCCAAGGTCTGCCAACAAACTTGCTGACTCCTTGGCCCATGGAGTTAACAATCATGATTTGATTCGGGGAGAATACCCTCTAGGATTGAAGTGTGCATGTATATAGATGAACTCTTTATGAAGTTATGTGCAAGGCATGGTCTGAAGCTGTTGAACATTGTAGAGAAGATGGGCTGAATGGCCCATAGGCTGTTTATCCTTTTTATTTTTTATGTTCTTTGCTGTAATGGGCCTTAATCTGGGCCTATTCTTTCTTATGTTATGTCTTTTTAATTTYCTGCCCAACTAAAGGCTTCTCTGTAAATTACCAAAGTTTAACTTAATAAAATAGAATTAAGGGTGTAACAGAAGAGATTATGTTCGAAAATCTCTCTCTGAACTCAAGTTGCCACCACCTTCTTCTTCATCTTCTCCCCTCTTGAACTCTGATTTCTGCTACTTTCTTTTGATTTTGCATCCTTCTAAACAGTCCTTTCTTCTCAAAAGGCTGTTTTTCTTCTTGGTATCAGAGCAGGCTCGTTTTTCCCCTTTTTTCACTTTTTTGTTCCCATACAATGTGTAGGGAGAACTGAATTGTATGAATAGTTAAAAACACCTTTTTCAGCCCAGTTGTTAGTGGTTTCTGGAGAGAAGAGGACCGACTTTGTCGCCCCCTTGACAAATTCAAGTGTGTTGCCCGAAACCCTAATTTTCTGGAGAAATCTGATTGCAGGCCCCACAGGGAGTTTGACCTGGGCGCTCAGTGACTGAAGGCTTTCTCATTCTCCTTGAAGATCGAATCAAGTGGATTGGTGTTCTGTGAAGTCTACAAGGAGCGGCTGAATTTTCTCCGTTTCTCCCAGCTTCCAGGTGTGACGCAAATTATTGGTACGGCTGCATAAGGGTTGGCTCACAACACAGTTTTGTTCTGTCTTCATTTGGTGTTTTTCGAAGTTGTTTGAAATCATTTTTGAGGTGTTTAAGAAGATGAACTCCTCAGACATTGAAAACAAGCATGTTGCTGAATCCGGACAGGTTCCGGGAGCCTCTGTAGACTCTT